CCATTGATTATTTTAAATTTATTATTCCTTTATGTGAATTATTTACATTTGCAATAACAAATTATGTAATAAAACATATTTTTAAACAAAGAAATCCCGCTTTCTATTTTCAGTATAAAGGATTTTTATGTAAAACAAAAATATATAATATTTAATAAGTAATTTATAATATATGTATAATTTTAAGTATAATAATTGGGCATTAAAATAAAAAAAACGCGGTACTTGGTGCGTAAAATAATTTTCTTTTTGTGTTACATTTTTATACAATGTTTCTTTATGTTTGTTTCAGCCTTCTTCAGACTTTATTCAGCGTTAACGATATAATAACGATATAATATCAATTCAATAATGACATAATAACGATATAATATCAATTCAATTTTGATAATCTATCTCGCTAATCGACGTTGATATAATGCGCAGGTTGGAAAAGATTACAGTACGCCATATTAGTAAATTATTCCGTTAGTCAATGTAAATATGTTTCGCTTGTATGAAATGGGTTTTCAATTTCAAGATTGAAAGCAGACGTCATCTAACTAACCGGAACAAATCAATTTGTATATAATTATAATATTTATGAGCACAAAGAATAGTAGTGGTAATTACAAAATGCGTTAAACGTATTCTATACGCGACAATAGAGGTGTCAGGTGTTTTTTTAACGCAGTTTTAAGATCTTTTAACCGTTATGCAAATTGACTTGTTCCGGTTAGTGATGACGTCTGCTTTCAATCTTGAAATTGAAAAACCGTCTCACACACGCAAAACATATTTACATTGACTAGCGGAATAATTTATTAATGTGGCATATTACAATCTTTTCCAAACTGCGGACTAGATTGACGTCAATTAGAGGATATATAGATTATAAATAAATTATCGAAACTAGATTGATATTGTATCGTTTAATGATGAAGAAAATCTGAAGGATGCTGAAAACATATTTACGTAAAGAAAATTGTAAGAAGATTTAACTACACAAGAAGATAAAATTATTTTACGCAACAAGTACCGCGTTTTTTACTATTAATGCCCAATTATTATACTTAAAGTTGTTGTAAATTAAAGAGTCTTACATATTATATGTTAATATATGTTTAATTTATTATATAAGATGTTGTACTTATTTTATATAAGATATTACATTTATTGAATCTGATTATTATTATTATTATTATTATTAAAATGCAATATATATTAATAGTTATAAAATAATCAATTTAAGAAAGAAATAGAGTAAAATATATTTAAGAAAAAATTCTCTTGTATAATAATATTTAATCAATCAGATATAATTAATATGATACATGTTATATGTATATATCACGTCAAAGTTATTTTTCAAAATAATTTCATATGCATTTTTATTTCTATCAAAGTTCCAAACTTACTTAATAAAGAGAAAAATATTAAAATTATTATAAAATATTATAGAGAAAAGATATTATAAATATTATATAATATTATAATATTATATGTATTTATTATTACTTATATAAAATGTAATATTCAAATCTACTTATTTATTTTTATATTAAGAATATATTGAAATATTTATGTCAAAACAAAACTTAATAATAATAAAACTTAATAATAATAAACGTATATACGTATTATAAATACGAGTATATAATGTATTTATGTTAATATTATTACCGCCACTGGTGAGAAGACCAGTACCAAGCCAAGGGTGAAAAACAGAATAAATCAAACTTTTGTCTATGTGCTTTGTATTGTTTAGTATTGTCTGAAATTACAGAAAGTATTGAGTCAAAAACACAAACATTATTTCATGTTGCCGCAACGCAGATAATTATAAGCAATTAATTAATTTTAAAAGAATTTCAAATATTTAAATCATCTCTAACAAATTTTTTACGAGTAAATATCCATATGTGTAATTATAAGACTTATATATGAGAAGGACTTAATTAAACTGTGTTTGAAACGTTTACGTTACGCTATGTAATATTTTGCTAATAAATATTTAAACATTATGCACCTGTGTTGACTTTTATTGGCTTTACTTATTATTTTGTTTACTTTTAAAAGTAAACATATTTTTGCAAGATAAAGAAAATAATTCTTATTCGGTAATATAGGCATAATAAGAAAGAAATAGAATTTCTTTCAAATTTTATTACCTCTAGATGATCCGGATGACGAATGGTTACAAGGGGATCAAAGATTGCCCAAATTTTTACAATAGGATAATATCGGTTAGTAAGAGTGGTAACAACATACTTCCATTGATTCTCTGAAATATGTATATGTGTGTCATGTAAACTCACAGAAATATTATAAATGTTCGAAAAATATAAAATTAACTTTATCAGTATATTTAATGTATAATATTTACATTTCTCAATTAACTTCAATAATCGGGAAATAAATGTTTTCATTTAAAAAAATTGATAAGCTTAAATAATTTTTAAAACTAATCAACATGCAATAAATATTGATGATAACATATCTCAGAGTGGAATATTTATAAATATTACATTTGCATTTATGCAAATTTTGTTTGTAGAGACTAATATTAATTTACTCGAAAAATATTAACTTGCCTCGTGAACTAAGATATTGAAATGCATTTCCAACAATTGGATAACCTGGAGGACCTGGTAGAAGGTTGATGAGCCGCCCATTTCTTCCATAATGAATATAATAATTATACGCCAGTACAACAAAGATAATTAATAACACTAATATAGTAATGAACATCATTTTGTTGATCAAATAATCAGCAAATTTAATCGAATATTGTTTCCTTTAACACTCTATTCTTTTTGTAAACGAATTACTTTATACATATTATTTGCTTCAGAATTATTATTCACGATAAAATACTTTGTAATCTTGATATTCTAAATATGTTTGATAAATAATAGATGCATTGCGTTATTTACACTTTGTCAATAACAATTTTAAAGAGATATAATGTATTTTTTAATTTTATTAGAGATATGCACGTCCACAACACATAAATATATATAAATCTGCAAATATGTATATTTTTTATTTTTAATTAGACCGGTTTTTAATTTCAAACTGTATTAACACACAATTATATTATTACAAATGTTTTTAAAAAAAGTTTTACAAATTGATGCGCTTTTGTTAAACGCTCGTAAATGACTATACTCGTTTACACCGATAAGTTTCTGTTTTCGCTCATTTAAGTACTGTTGATAAGCGTCTGATTATTACCGTACATACTATATATAGCATAAGCTATAGCTTTTCAGTTCTGACAATATAATAATCAGACATGACCTTTGATCTATTAACTTTTAAGCCTCATATATATTTGATTCTTTGTATTTTCTTGCATGCAAACTTGAAATTCAGCTTGTTATCTTGTTTA